CTTACCCCCAAACGGGTTAGGATTTCCTCCCCTTCCATGGCCGCCCACGGTCTCGGATGACGCTGGTACCCTCCGTAACCTCCCATCCCTCGAAGGGGAAGAGCTCCCCAGGTGTCCCGATCGTCCCTCCGACGATTATACTCGAACCCCTTGTCATATTCCCCCCTTCTTCCTTCGAAATCATCACCTCGACGCTGAATTTCTTCAAATTCAGCACCTCGACGATGAAATTCCTCCATTCTTCCTTCAAATTCAGCCCCTCGAAGCTTTCGAATTCAGCACCTCGGCGCTGAAATTCCTCCCTCCCCCTTCAAAATCAGCACCTCGACGCTGGATTCTTTCGAATTCAGCACATCGGCGATGGAAATCTTCCCGTCTGCCGATAAAATCAGCCTCCCGTTTGTCATATCCCCTACTCAACTCCTCCCTCAAAAGTGGTTCTAGTGGAGGCATCCCGTCATCTCCCTCTAGAACTTCCACTTCCGGATTTTCCTTACCCCCAAACGGGTTAGGATTTCCTCCCCTTCCATGGCCGCCCACGGTCTCGGATGACGCCGGTTTTTGTTTTTCTTCCATCATTTTCTTCATTAATTCTTCTAATGCGGCAAATCTTCCGTCCATCTTCTCATGGATTGATGAGAATTGATTTTGAAATTCTGAGATCTTGTCTTCGAAATCCGTCTTTAATTGCCCTAGCTCTCCTTCCAAGACCTCAACCTTTCTTCCGGCCATAGTGCCTTCTCTGTCCTTGAGAATTCCTCTTCCAATAGAGATGATCTACCGCTGGAATTTCAGAGATCCAGCAGCCAAGGGTCCCAAATCGACGCTCTGATACCAATTTGATAGGAAATACTTGAGTTCGCAAGTAAACCTAGTCAAAATTAGTCCAAAACAGTGAGGAAAACTGCTGTCCCAGCAGTTTAACAGCGATCACGCAGCAGGAAACACGTCCAAACAAAGAGAATTTAGGAAAAGAAATAAGGTTTTCACTAGTAGATGCAAGAAAACAAAGAAAGATACAATGTTCTTCGATTCGAGAGGAAGAACCACTCTCCACAAGTCTCTAGCAAACCCTAGAGCCCAAGCACACCAACAGATCTCAAATTTCTCATTCAAATTCAAGATGATCCCATCTCCCCCCAAATCCCCTAATTAAAGCAAAACGACTAATTAAAATACCCTAAATACCCCTTTAATTCAAAATTTCCCTCCTAATGGTTAATACAATCAATGCTTGGGCCCACAAGAGCTGACGCCCCCCCCTCTTTTTCTCCCTTGATTCCGCCGGAATAGACCTGGACCGGACCGATCCAGCCGGCTGGGCCGGCGGCATATCAGTGTCCTAGTCTATAATGATGAAGCCAAATAGTGGAATTCCTATCGATTAGGGATAACAAAGAGCAACTTTTTTTAGATTGGTTTGGTTCTTCCCGGTAGTAAAATCCTCCTCTCTCCTTAGCAAGTCCAATCTTCTTCCCCGATCTCTGGTCCTGAAATAAGCAATAAGTAGGGTTAAACAAGGCTTGACAATTATGGTCATTGGTAAGTTTTTGTATTGATATCAGTTTGTGGATAATTGTGGTACGTGGAGCACATTTTTTAGGGTGAGGGATGGGGATAATATGATGTCTCATTGGCCAGCTACGGTGGCAAGAGAACCATCAGTAGTGATAATTTTTTTATTGTTTGGGCAAGGAGTATAGTTTATGAGGTGTGTGGGTGAGTGGGTCATATGATATGTGGCTCCTAAATCAATGATCCATTATTCATTCAAATGATTTCTGGAAGTACTTAAACTAATAGAAATTGGAGTCTTACCTAATAGTGCAAGTGAAAAAGAAGCATTTGATTTCTCAAGAAATACCAGGAGACGTTTCAATTTATCAATATCTTCTTTATTGAATTCTCCAATGATGAACTGTGCTTCAGGCTTACTTGTAGTGTTGTTGGCATGTGATATGCTCCTTGTTTCATCCTTTTGGTTTCACTCCTTGCTGGGGGGTTTTCCATGTATCTTCCAGCATGTTTTTTTTGTATGTCTTGACCTTTTACAATAGCTGCACCAAAGTGAGTCTTTATCTTTAAATTTTAAAGAATCTTTACCTTTCTCCTTCCATGATGATTCTTTGTTCATCACCATTGCTAAGCTTTCAACGACATTTGGTTCTAACATCACTCGTCGACTTTCTTCTACACGGATGACAGAAATGGTTTCGTTGAGTGATGTCGTCTCCTCTTTGCCGAGGATCTGAACTCTAACTTGGTCAAATTCTGCATTTAGTCCTGCAAGAAAATCATAAACTCTATCTTTTTCAATAAAGTTCTTTAGGATCGCAGCATCTTCCGGACATCTGGTTTCTATGCACCTATAGTGATCAAGTTCCTACCACAGATTTTGTAGAATGGTGGCATACTCCGTCACGGTCTTATTCCCCTGCTTCGTGCTTCCAACTTTGACTTTAACTTCAAAGATTTGAGCCGCATCATGAGCTTTGAAGAAGGTTTGTCTGGCAGCATCCCATATGTCTTTTGCAGTCGAAAGAAACATAAATGTATCACTAATTTCTGGAGTCATGGAATTCCACAACCATGACATAATCAGGGAGTCTGCTTCATCCCATGCCCCAAATTTTGAATCTCCTTCTTTTGATCCTCCTCCAAGGAGGTGATGTATTTTACCTTTCCCCTTCAAGTAGGTCTTCACAAATTGAGACCACTTCAGGTAGTTCTTCCCATTTAGACGATAGGATGGTTGCATGCGTTGAAGGTCACCTCGTCCTTGGTGCACCATTGACTCCTCAGTTTGATCAACGCTTTGAGAGGAGTTAATTTCTGACATTGAAAAGCAATTAATGCTTCATAGAATTTTCTTTGTTCGACAATAAAGGTTGAAAGATAAAGGTTTTTTTTTCTCTCTTTTCTCTTTTTTTTTCGGCAATAAAGGTTTAAAAATAAAGGTTTTTTTTTCTCTCTTTTCTCTTTTTTTTTTTTTTCTCTTCTCTTTTTTTTTTTTTTTTCTTTTCTCTGGTTTATTAAACCAAACCATCCGAGCTCTTTAAAAAGCTCAGATCGGGACTAGGCACGGGGTCGAGCTCTAGAGAAGTCCCGTTCGGCTTCACGGTCACTCCTTTCGCTTACAGGGCGCCGCTCGGTTAGGGTACGCACACACGCAGGGAGCCGCTCGGCTTCCTTGGTTCGCAAGAGGCTTCTCTTCAGGTTGGATCGGGACGCCTTCAACCGTCTTTCCTTCTTGTCGGATCGGGATGCTCGCTCCTGTCGGGAAGATGTTCTGGATACAATGCAACAACTATAGAGAGAAAGAAAACAGAGAAAACCGTAGAAGAGAAATCCCGTTCGGCTTCACGGTCGCTCCTTTCGCTTACAGGGCGCCGCTCGGTTAGGGTACGCACACACGCAGGGAGCCGCTCGCTTCCTTGGTTCGCAAGAAGCTTCTCTTCCGGTCGGATCGGGACGCCTTCGACCGTCTTTCCTTCCTGTCGGATCGGGATGCTCGCTCCTGTCGGGAAGATGTTCTGGATACAATGCAACAACTATAGAGAGAAAGAAAACAGAGAAAACCGTAGAGTATTGTATATATTTTCAGCTATTACATGTGGTGTATTGAAAGTGTATATAAAAGAAAAACAGAACAATTTCTATCCAGTAACAGATGCTTCAGAAATTGCACGGTTGAGATGCCATGAGCTGTTAGTGATCAATGGCCAGAGAGAGTGCTACAAGAGGTATTTGTGATACTGCAGGGAAAGTGGCTTTGAGGTAAGAAAAGCTGTGAAGGCTGCTTACTTAGCTTATCATGTGAGGGCTTATCAAGAGGAACCAACTTTTGGTGGATAATCTGACTTTAAAAATACAGGAAGTGAATCAGTAAATGCCGATTTACAAGCAATTTCACTCACAATGTTGATCTGGGTAGCTTTACAGAATAACCTTTAGAGTCAAAATTCAAAGAAAGCTAGACTGTTGGAACTTAGAAGAGTCGAATGCAGAAAGTGTAAGGGCGGAAAGAACCATGGTTTTGGAGAACCGACGCCTTACATATATTCCAACATTGAACGGTGATAAAATCTGACCAAGCTGTGCCTCAAGGAGGCTTTCATCAAATGGATGCGGCCAAGCTCATATGGATGCCCCCAAACAGGGTAACGTGCTGTAGGCGATGGAGTGTTTAGTTTCTTGGCGTGAAAAAATCATGCCTATGCAGAATGGAAAAGTAACTTCGTTGCTTCTTTAATAAGAGAAGTGAGACTAGGCTTCATATTAACATTCCAATTAACCTTGACCAACTTTGAGGTATCATAAAAAACTAGTGTTTGGCACTCGCATCAGTACTGATTTTATTTTGCCTTTTTTTCCCCTGCAAATCGTAAAACTGATCGACATTAGATTGTTAAATAAATATTTTATTTTCTAGTAGCAACGCATCATATTTGTTCTGTTTTTTCTCCAATAAAGTGCACGTCTTCCAAGCCCCTCAGCTTCTCAATACCAAAACCACCCAAGCACTTTTCTCGGTAAAAACAAAATGCAAATCAAAGTGCAGCGGTTTATTATTATGTTATCAAAGCAAAGTCAAAAGAACCAAACTGGCGTTTTCAAATCTGATATATTCCTCCATCACACCAACAAAAAAAATACCCTTCAGATTTTTCATCACTGCTAGGTTTTTCAATTAATATTGTTACATTTTTCACATAGCAAAACAAGTTTTTAAACAATCTGAATGCCAGTCTCAATGATCGAGGATTTCTTTTTGTGTCCTAGACTAACGTTCAAGATCTTATATTCTTATCACTGATGTTAAACTTAATAAACCTGGAAAGAATGTCCCACTAATAAACCATAACAAGGAGCTTTAACTTCCCATATGATTTTTATCATCAACCAAGTCTTCTGTTTTCAGAACAATAATTAGGAACATAAAAGCAATTTCAAAATAATGATGGTTTATAGAAAACTAGAAATTGATAATGAGTACTAACCTTGAACATCCACTCAGTAGCAAAAAATTGGGCCTCTTCATTGCTAGCTTCATTGTTGGCGATGCCCTCAGCAAGGGGTTCCAACTGCTGGGGCAAAGTAAGGAGATATTCCCCAATACTCGTTACATAGGCCTGAGGATAGGCATTAAAGCTTGGGAGCGGATGAAGACTTGGCTCTTCTACAGATGACCATATTGGCAGCCTAGATACATCATTTAATCGCTGCCTAACTTTTGATATTAGAACATCATAAACAAGTTCATTCACTGTGTCTGCAAATGCTGCCACTCTTTGTGCTGTGAGCGGAAGTGCATGGAAGCGTGGATCTTTTGACTGCATGGATTAAAAGAAGAAACTATTCAAAAAATCAGAAAGCTTAAGATCAATAAATTAAGAACATAAAGAGAATGTTTCACAATGGATAGAAAGTAAAAAGGTCGCAGGAGCCAAATGCTTGCTATGAGAAGATAGATATTTCCTTCACGCTCTTCTTAGGTCGTCTAATTTTTACAAGGGGAAATGTCAGCTAAGCAACTACAGAAAATAAATAAAGCTTTCTAAGGCCAGAGTAATCTGCAAAATTAGTCAAATGAACGCCTAGAAAAGGAAAAAATAAAATCGATCATAAGTCCTAAAGACAAGATGAACTCTGCCTAAATCAGCACAGCATGGCATTCAATCCCATTGTTTATCAGACTTTTCGTATGAAAAATAGATTGCATGGACCTAATATATTACTAACTAAAGCAAGGCTAACTTAACGTAGCTATCCCAATTTAATATCATGAATAAGAAGTAATGTCTACATTGAAATATATATTAAATATAAAAGTACAGATTAATACAAAATTTTAGCAATTCCTGGAAAAAAACAAGTAGCAACAAAGAGACCGACATTATTTGTCCAAGAATTTTTGGTGGTCACATGACGTAGTTAACTAAAAAAAGATTGCTCCTAGGAGTAGCCCATATCAAATCAGCGCTAGTAATATTGCATTATCTAACAACGAGCTTGCCTAAAATCCTAAAAAATCAAAATACTACAAAAAATAACAAAAAACGTAATAAATTTCATGTTTCTTGTTTGGAAATATCTATGTACCATAAAAACTGTAACAAGAATATACTAAACAAAACATATAGTTAGATGTCCCAGAAATGATGGCAGGGCCTGGAAGGACTTGCATGAAATTCTTAAATATATGTCCAATATTACCTGTTCTAGGAGATTAAAAAGCTTTCTAGCCTTCTCCGGCATGTTGATAAGCCTCAAAGATGCAACATCCAGTGCTGCTCTACCTGCAAGAGGCAATTCCACATTTGCATTGCCGCTTACTAAATAAGACTGGTCAATGTTCGAACCAAAAACAGAAATGGATAAGCTTGTGCCAATCCTCGCGAGTGTGGCTCGTAAAGAAGCTTCAAAAACAGATGCTCTGCTAGTTAAGCAATCAGCAACAGTAAGGATCTGCAGTGCACCCTGGACTATGGACCACTCCTCTTCTTCAGATACGACATTCATGATCTTTCTGTCAATACCAGCATCCTTCTTTGAATTATCACTTTGTATAGCATTGTCCACTCCACAAACTGATCTCAAGGATTTTAAGGTTTCTTGCAGGTTTGAGAGATATTGCAACATCAACTCATCAAGGTTACCAAGAAGCTCATCCATCTCAGAACCACCTGTAAAGCTTATGCATCTCTCTACAGCTGCTTCAAGAAGTACAATTACTTGAGGGATTGATTCTTCCATCCTTCGAACAGTTTCACTAAGTTCAATGCCTTGAGCACCAACACCACGGGCAACAGCTCCTCGAATATTTATTTCTGAAATTGCTGAGGATAGAATAGCACGCTCCATTTGCCCATATCTAGGTGAAGGAAAAAACTGTTTTATTCAGAAAATTACATGACTGGATCTAGTCTAGTTAAAAAAAGTAGGGTGGGTAGCACTAATAAAACAACAGAATCTGTTGAGAAACAGCAACAATAAGCTTAGCTACAGGTCTACCTATATCAAGCCACAGACAGGCATAATAAGGTTTAAGTGTGAACCTTTGTTTGTATACTTCGTATGAAGAATAAACAGACTTCAATGTGCGTAGGAGAACCTGAACGTCAGATTCTGCAAACAAGTGCTGGATGTTCCTTGCAAAAGCACCAGTCATGTTATGAAGTTCAATTAGCGCTTCAAGATGCTTATTATGAATTTTAGTGCCATTTGGTATGTCTCCAGATAGGATATCCATTACACCTGAAATTAGCAAATGAAGGAACATGATATAATCACTGTATTAATGTGGAATGCATCTTAGATAGCAGATGAGCTGATGACTAGCAGAAAGAAAATACTATCAAGTGATGGCAGATTAAAATTTATAACTGCTCCGTTCTACTTCCATATCAAGAACAACAGCAAAAATGATAAGAAGTTTGAAAATTCTAAAAAAAAATGTTACTAATTCAGAATCAATCTATAAATTGCCTGAAATTCCTTTCCTTTCATATTGAGGCCTAATTTGTCAATTTCCTGTCATTTTCCTTGCTTATAAAGCCAATTTAAAGCTTTTTTATGTAATCTGAGAGGGTAAAATAATTTTTTAAGCATACGCATAACAAAATCAGGCCGAATTTCCTCTTGTCGATAGATAATTACATCTATGTTAGTCAAACAAAAACAGTCAAAACACAAGGCAATCATAACAGTTTTTCTCAGTTATACCATTAATAACATTATTTTCCTAGAATAGAACTTTGATGGCTAAGTGGAATAAGGCATTTCCTTTTCTTTATTGCTTAATCTTAAAAGAAAAAATTAAAAAGCTTGCTGTACTTTTGAATGAATCCAACCTGGAGATTCTCAGAATGAAGAGAGGTGCAGGAAACATTATAGCAGATAAAGTCACAGATTGCATTCATCCATAATGAAAGAGGAAATGCATTCCTTGAACTTTAAAAGCCTGTTTGGTTGTGAATTTAAGCTAGTTTGACAAAGGTCTAAACCTACACTACTCTACTGATATTACCAAACAGGTTTAAAGCCTTGCATGTAATCTCAGTGAACTTAATCGCAAGAATGCAAATTAATTCAGCTAACCTAGGATTAAGCAAAGCCATTACCTCCGAGATAACTTTATCCAAGGGAAAAAGGACAACAATACATGTATCATTCAATAAAAAATGAAACACAATGAGGCACACTAACTTTTTTGCTGTTAAATGAAGCAGTATATTGAGCAAGTTTATATGGGTAAAAGCGTTTTTCTAATACCAACAAGAAGAAGACGAACAAATCACATAGAAAAAATATGTAACCTTTTCCTCCAAGTAAGGTTATTTACAAAAGCTCAATCAAACTCCCAAAATGCACTGAACCCCTACGTAATTAAAAACCTTACAATCAACACAACCTATACTAGTACTTAAACCTAACAAAACAAAAATTATAGGGAAAATAATCCTAATAGTCTGCACATAAATTAAAAATTACAGCAATCATCATGCATTTTAAGTCTCAAGATCCAATACTTTAAAGTCTAGGAAAGGGAAGTTCAAGATGCATATATAATACAAAATATAATTTGCTATAGAGAATGTATTCACATCACATTCATTCACCTCATTGAGAAATATAAACAAAAAAGCTGCATAAGGCTTGAAAGCTCAGGAGGACACATTCTAATTTTTTAGATAAATCATTCTAATTTTTTAAGCACCTGTACCCACCTGCTTGAAAATAAGTGAAGCATAAATTAGGTTATATGCCAACGAATTTAAGAATTTAACTGAATAAGCTTCATGAAATCAAACCTTTAATCAATGTTTTGGTTTCAGGAACGACATCCCCAGTTGCGAGGTTGATACGTTGAACAAAACTTGAATACAACTCAGACATGGTCTCATCCAGTAACTTCGGCACCAAAGAGATGTAATCCTCAGGTAAAGCATTCATGCACCTACAAGCATCATGCTGGTCAGCGTTGAGCTCAGTTCTTAAACTATTACATGCACACAAGTTAAGTCATGAAAAACTTCTTCCTATGTCAAATCACTAGAAATAATGAGAAAATATTGGTGAAAAGTATTAACATACCACTTCCATTCATGTTCAAGGTAAAGCAAAAGCTCATCATAGAAACTAGGAAGCCAGCTGCTGAAAGAAAGAGAGGATGCATTTGTAGCATCTACAATGTTTGGGCGACTTTCACCGTGCTTATCGATCTCAAGCTTGTTAATTCGCTGCTTAGATTCAAAGTCTTCCCAGAGCTTTTTTAATGGCTTTACATGCATTTTAGTGTAATGTACCTCTAATGACTTGTATCTTCCAATTCGAACAAGGATTTGTCTTAAATCTTGTACAGCTTCAACCTAGTCAATCCTTTTTAAAACGTTAAATGCTTAAAGTCCCAAAATTATTTTCTATCAAATTATTAGAAATCCAAATTTATAACAGAAACACAAACACAAGTCAAGTTAGGATTAAAAGATGTTAACCTTACGATGTGCAAAAGCGTCTGATAAGCGAGGCTGAACCATTTCCTCCAACCGGTCTTCCAAGACTTCCAACTGCTTTCTCACATTGGCAAACTCCGCAACCTAGGGACAAAAATCTTTCAGGTAAATAAACTCGTCCAAAATTGTGTGGTTCATTGCATAAACTATAAATAATTAATTCAAAGATGTAGAAGGAGAGATAAAGAGATATACCTCGCCAACAGCAGACAAACAATGTCTCATGTTAGCCAAAGTATCTGCAGCCCGTGGAAGATCTCCACTGGCAAAGACATCTTCAACACTTGCACTCAACTGTGTCAAGCCTGCAGCGTCCTTTTTTTTCAGGATTTCAGGAATGCTGATTAATCAGATTGGAAAGCTAAAAGACACGGCTAAAGAGATAAAAACTATCACCTAAACAGTTAATGAAATATGCCGCTAGATTGAAGAAATTACCTGCAATATTTCATAAGTTGCTTCCATACGTTGCTTTACCGTATCTATTTTTGCAAGAGCAGCCACAGACTCAGCTGATGTACCTTCTGCCTGCCAAACAAAGTCATCTGACTTTCATTAAACTAAAAAAAAAAAAACATAAATTTTTATTATAATGTTTCCCAGTTACATATTAAAAACAGTATGCAGCAAATATCAGATCAAGGCTGATACAGCAACTGGAAATCCATTTGCAGAGCTGCCCTTTATTCTACTGACAGAAACTGGAAATCCATATGCAGAGCTGCTTCTTATTCTACTAGCTTGGGACCCACACCTCATTTGCAGAATTCATCTCACCATCCATTGATAACCGCCCTATTAACCTCTACCTTTGGATGATAACAAGCTTTGTAGCTACTAACGATTACACATTATGCTTTGAGTATAAATATAGTGACTGTAGCCAATTTGGTGTGGGAAAAATGAATGCAAACTTAAAGTTCTGCTTCAATGTATTTCACTCTTTCTATTTTACATTCCCATTACTTCAATATTGGTGGTTTGTATTTTTATATGATAGTTGTATACTTATATATAAATAGGTACCCAAAATAGTGAGATAAAGGCTTGATGTTATTGTTGTTATAATTGTATATGTATATGTGCCCATGTAAGTAATTAGCAATTAGCTAATAGGTTTCCATCAAAGAGCTCGATCGAGAGGGTTACGTGATCAAGGTGGCACTCGTTCGAAAGGATTGTGCCACAAAGAAGTAGCTAGTACCAGCCAATAGTAAAGCAACCACTCTGCCCTATAGAGATTGCAACTTGAAAAATTGTTCTGAGATAATAAATCAATGATGCAATCTTCTCAACAAACTACCCCAAAGGACTCACCCAAACCAGTACACCTTAACTGAACTTGTTCACCCGCAACAACTATCCGCGATCAAGGTCATTCGCTTGATGTTGGCATCCCAGATAAAGCCATGAAAAGTGCACACCTCTAAAGCATATGACCATGAACTTCACTAGCTAGGCTCATCCCTAGCATGTAGCTAACCTTATCTAGGGAACTTGCAATTTCGCTTTTGGGAACTCGACACTCGTTCCACGGGACTAGCCCCCATAGCGTTGTCTCACAAGCCAAATTTCGAAGACTCATCAAATACACTCGCCCAGAAAGCTTGCCTTAGGCACTTGCTTGAGAGATAGTGTGCATGTTAAAGACATGAATTCATATGTACCTCTCCTAGCTAGTCCACATTTTGTGTCAGTCTATAACGGTCACATCATGTACTATTTTATTTTTTATTATTGTAGATGTAGCATTTCATGCAATCCTCTTGCAGATGTAGCAATACAGGATAAAGAGGCATAATTGGGAGCTCTTTTTGAGAGACCTTTTCTATGTTATTGAGATATTTCTTAATATCAAATAACTTTGATTTAACTCTCCATACTCACTAATCTTACTCGCCCATTTTTTCTAGATCTTGCATGCTACTACGGTAAGGTGTAATCCACAAATAAATTTGGATCTCACATTCTCTAAGGTGTAATTAACGTGGATTGATTCTAGTGACTAGAAGATTAGCACAACCTTTTGAATCAACATTTCATCTATATTTATTTCACCTCTTTGAATCGAAGATATAGCAATTTCCTTTGAATGCGAAGAGCGACAAAACCAAGTGTCGTCCATGAGCAAATATAACCAAAGCTACACTACCCACCATGACTTAAAGAGAGAGAAAAAAGGATCACTAAGATTATCCAAAATGCACTAGGGTGAGAGATCACACAAGGGAGAGCACCCAGAAGGATCGTCCAACTTGACAGCTAGTCGAAGGAGACCCAACACAGATATCAATGCCCAACAAACCACAATCACACCAGTGATGAGGAATATAACTCTCTGCCCAAGTGAGGAGGGAGTCAGAGTTGATTAACATGTTCTCTAGAGAGTCACAGAAGCAAGATCACTAATCAAGTTCAAAATGCCTAACCTAAACTCATAACAAGGAAGATCAAACCACATTGACCGTGTGGTCTATTTTAAGTCGGTGATGTCGCTAATGTAAGCCACCAATGTTGCAATCCGGAAGTCCAACCTTGTGTTTTGATGATTACAAACATTATTGAATGATCATTTACTTATTCCTTCATTGTATATTGCAAATTTTCTTGCATCACTAACTATTTCAAGTACAACATAAGCATCGGGGTCTAAGTGAGTTTGTGTTTGATAAAATATGTATTTTTTATTTTCTTGAGTCATTTTATGCGATAGGTGTATGTTGGCAAAGTAACCTAGCATGCACTCATAAGGTGGGTAAAAATTAATAGTTAATTATTTTTTGTTAATCACAATGTACGATCTATTTAATAGAAATTAATTCAAAATTTTAATTAAATCAAATTAATAAAAATTAATATATAACTAATCTTACTGTATGACAACTAAATCGTACAAGATAATCAGCTATTTTGCTAAAACCCTCCAACGAATTTTTGTTACAAAAATTAGACAATTTTGAAATTTGAACTAATCATACTATATAAACATCAATTAAAATAGCCTAATTAAATCCCAAGAATTAATTAATTTAATCAGAATCAAATCTCCATTAATGATCGTACTATATGATCACCATCGTATAGTACGATCAACAAAGAGCTTGATGGATGATCTGTGATTCGATATAACTAATCATATTGTACGATTGTACAACTCAGTAGATGATCTGTGGATGACCTAAATGAGCATCACTTAGTGCAGTACCCAAAGAAGACTATTGGGGAGTAAGCATAGGTCGATTTCAACCAAACCAATATAAATCTGGTTCGCATATTATTTACTTTCTTGCAATTTATTTTTCTACACTTTGATTTGCTTTTGTGTAATCTTTGTGAAATATTTTTTGGGTGATAAATCTCTGATTAAAGTTTTGTTTTGAAATTAAAAAATATATATTTATTTTCTAAAAGTTTAAGATATTTAAAAAAATTATTTGATTTTATTTTTTTATATTTTATCCTTGTAAATGCTTCCCATATCTCATTTTGATCTTAAACAAAATATTATTTAAAAGACCAATTCACCCTCTCTTTGTGTCCCATAAGCACTTTCAACCAATGTCTTGAAGTACTGATTGTTCTTCATCACCTTAAAGGAGTTCACCCTATGGTGATTTTCTTACTTATCATTGAGCATGATTACTTCATTCTAGGAGTTCAAGAGAATGTTCATTAAATAGTTTGTGAGTGCTCAAAGGCTATTTAAGAGCACCCATAATCTATTGAAGGTTAGGCAAGAGCCAACCAAGTCATTACAAAAGCTTCATCATTGGGTTCCAAAAGGAGATACTGGAGGTTAATGTTCTAGAGCTAGTAATCAAATAGGCTACACTAATGCAAGGCCGGCAAGAATGGCAATTTAGGAATACCCTTGAACTTCAACAACTACGAATGTTGGTCGAGCCGTTGTAACTTGCCAATAACCACATCAATGCAGAAGGGGGGTACAACAATGTGGTTGAGGCATCTTACACTACTCGCCCCAAATCACAACCTTTAGGCATGGCACGACTGAAATTGCCCAAGAGATAAAAAAATAGATAAAAGGCCACACATGCCACAATACCAATGCGATTTTGGCTAGCAAAGAGCACCGCAACTAATGAGAGCTCTTAGAATCACTGGACTGCCCACTCCGTGAGTGGAGGTATGCCACGACCCACTCGCCCATACAGGCAGAAAGTCATACACCTTGGTTACTAATACCCAACCATCACTCCTTTACTCATATCCATAATCGAGTTCATGGATGCCATCCAAAATAAGGAGCTCTTCAAGCACCAGATGCCCACGAAGGCAAGTGGCCATACAAGGGATACCTTAAAATATAGTACCTTCCATAATAACCGCAGACACGACACAAAGTAATGCAAGCACCTCTAAAGACTAGTAAAAGACCACATGAAGGCAAGGAAACTAAAGGAGTTCATCCTCTCCATTCCAAGTAGGTGGCTTGGGAAGACACCCATAGAAGATCAAGAGTCCAAGCACGTTTCCACCCATGCCATCCACATCGCTTGGGTAGTACTCTCCATTCTTGGAGGAGACAAAGTCGAAACTTGAAGGGAGGCAAATTTTGAGAGGCCTCACTCAAGATAAGTCAGCTTGACCACCACCTCACGAGTACCTGTTATTGATGCCGCCCTTATCACCTTCTGTGAGGCACAAAGTCTAGCTAGTAGAAACCCTTTCAATGATGCCGTGTTAGTCATGAAATTAGTCATAAACTACTAGATTGGCAACATCCTCATCGACACAACTTTTGTTTATATTATTTTTAAACATGTTTTTGATAAAATGTACTTGCATGCTTCCCAACTCACCCCAAACATAGGTCCTCTTTACAATTTCGCCAGCAAGACACAAAAAAACTAAAGGTATGATAACTCTACCAGTCATCTAGGGAGAGGGTGAGTATGAGTGCATTGCAATGGATGGCTTCATTATCCTAGACACTCCAGCCACATACAATGCAATCTTTAGGTGACCCCCCTCCCCCTCTAAATACCTTTAGGTTGGTTGTATCAACATACCACATAACACTCCAAGTTCCTAGCAAAAGGCTAGGAAATCATAGTGAAAAGCGACCTCACCCAATAACGGAGATGCTAACCTACTACTTTAAGGTTATAGGGAAGGTGGAAACTTCCCCTGATGAGCTACTGCAACTAGACGTGGAAAGAGGATCAGGGTCGGAGACTATAGTAGCTATGGAGGAAGTCCAAGCGGCAGAGGGTGAATCAGAGAGAACCCTACAGATAAATTCAACATTCAATCATGCGCATGAAAATGAACTCATCAAAGCACTGAAAAACAACCTTGATGTCTTTGCTTGGTTAATAATGGAGATGTCAGAGATTGATAATGAAGTTATCTTCCTCCAGTTGAATGCAAAAATGCTACTCATTCATGTGATCACCAACTAGCAATGACCTCTCCTTAAGATCAAATGAAAGAGCTTCCTACTTGTTCAGCTTAGACACCACCACCTTGTCCCTTGCGAAGAGCATTGGGTGAGTTGGCATGGCCCATCCCACCAAGGACTTCATGAAAACAAACTTCGCCTTTAAATCCCTGACCTTGTTCACCAAGTCACCCACTCTCATGCAAACTAAGGAGAATTGGGTGCTGCCATCTTTGAAAGCTTTGACAGCAAATACATAGTAGAAGAAACTAAAACTCCACATAATATTCTCCTGCCACAAATGCAAGAAGAGGATGACCATGCTTGCAATTTTGTTTGGTAGGAGTGTCAATATTTAACCCAATCCGAGACCCGACCCAAAAAATTCCATGTTTGGGCCAACTCGTTTTTCATATAGTTCAGATTCGGGTTCAAAAATGTGACCCTTTTCTAAAATCGGGTTGGGTTCAGGTTGACCTGGAAACCCGAAATCAACCTGAAGTTGACCCGGGTTTGGGTCCGCTAGCCTTCCGTGCAACAGGTCTCGACTAGACTAGCCTGTTAGCACACGGGAGTTGGGACGCTTAGCCAGTGAGCCCAATCCGCAATCGGTGCCGCTCCTCAAACCTAGCCCTAGCCCGCCTCGGGCTGGTCGCCTTCACCTCTCACGATGTCACGCGTACAGCCACCCACATGGCACGCGACAGTCAGCACGCCCGCATGAGGCACCGCCTCGGCCTGACCGCCTCGCCTAACTATGCAGCATGACCGTTGCGGCGCACGAGGCATGGGGACGAGCGAAATTTGAAAAAGAGTGAGTTGGCAAGTTTTGTCGAGTCAACCTGGTAACCCGCGTGGATTTCACTAATCTTACTCAACCATTTTTTTCTAGCTCTTACTTAGTAACAACCTAAAAGAAAGATAGCAAATGGTAGAAAGTTGTCTTTAGAATTTCAAGACTTGCAAGCACGATATACCTAATTACTTGTCCCTCCCTCACTGATCAAAACATTGCTTGAAACAAATGGATCTTTAAAATGAACATCAATTTGGATGGTATATTTGCTAGACATAAAACTTGATTGGTCGCTTAGGCTACAAACAAAAACTACACAGAATTTACTGAAATATCTAGTCCAATGACAAAGATGCCTACTATATGAGTTTTGCTTACTACTACCTTAAACCACAATTAGACTGTCAAGAAGTTAGATGCCTCTAATACTAAATAAGACTGCATACATAGAGCAACCACAGGTGTTCATGATCATCAATACCCTGATATATGTGTATTCATAAAAAGGTTATCTATAACCAAAAACAAATACATAGTGGTTTGTACCATTCACTTCTTACCTACAATAATTAGGATTCTCTTTCAGTACAGCTAATCCTTCTTTGTTAATTTATGAAGATGTTTCCATCACTATTGATTTTAATGATATTAATCGCTAGAAATTATGCAACTGCCATTAACATTTTGATTAAGAAATTAGAGGCTTGCTTTAACATGTGCAACCTTGGAAACATTTCACTCCCTTGGTATGCAAGCACTTCCTACAACTTAAGGCCTTATTATCACTCAATCGACATATGCCGAGGAGATCCTTCAACGTCCTAAGATGGTTGACTACGAGCAACTGCAAAATCCCATTGTTGTCAAACGGCTCCAACCTGATTTCAAATAGTAGAAATTTGATAATTATATACATTATCAACACATAGTGGGATTCTAGCAATATCTTACTATGACTAGACAAATTTATCCCTTACTGTTAATTAGTTGTGTCAATGTATACATGCCCAACTAATTAGCCATTATCAATAGCTCAAGCATATGAGATACATCAAGAGAACCATTCACTATGGTCTACCTATATATAAAGGGTAACTAAAGCTTAAGATTTATTTTAACTTTGATTGGGCTGGAGATCCTCAAGATCAACCGTCCACTATGGGATTTTGCGCTTGGTTAGGAAACACACTTATCTCTTGGTTTGTCCAGAAGCAGACCACTCTTGCTCATTCATCCAATGAGATAGAGAATCATGCACTTGCCACTAAAGACATGGATACTATATGGTTTCGTAGATTGTTAAAGAGATTGGCATTCTTCAAACTTCTGCAACACTTATTTATTGTGACAACATTTCAGTTATGGCATTAACTAACAATCCAATTTTTCATGCTTAAATGAAACACATTGTAATTGATATCATTTTATTAGAGATTGTAACAAAAAACACTCTCTACCATTTGGTTTCACCGTGTCATAAACAAGTTGTGCATCTAGGCTTGGACTACCAAGTTGAGGGGAGGTAAAAATGTTATGCAACAACCATTCATTAAGGTTGATACAAAAATTGGAAATCAAAACTCTCATTTTTCTGCTGGCACAGAACCACTACCGCATTTGCATAATTCATCTCACCGTCCATTAATAATTGACAAGTTAATCTCTACCTTTTGTTGATAACAAATTATGTAGCTGCTTATGATTACACATGTTTTGATTATAAATATAGTGATTGTAGTCGTATTTAGTGTAACAAAAAAATGAATGCAAACTAAAAGTTCTACTTCTATGCATTTTACTCTCTGTTTCACTTTCTTATAATTACTATGCTGAAGGTTTAATTTTCTATACAGATGACATTAAAAACCAACTCAGCTACCAATACAAGAATTGTATGTCATAACTATGGAGTTTTGCAAGAACAGGGTTGCAAACATATCGAGAACAATAATCAGCCAACTCAACAAGTGAGCATGAATATCTATGGACATAATTTTAAAATAAATAATCAAACTTAAAGAAAGAAACAAGGAAGCAAGGCACATTTAATCATGCAATAAAATTTTTAAAGCAAAGAAATTTCATATTGTTAAAAACAGAAGATATGGTGGGTATCCAATAAACCTTCAGAAGAAATAATGAGATCTACATTGAGAATTTAAATATAATGGTGAATTAAAAAAACTTCTCTGACCTAATTTTCCAACAAAAGGGTCCTAATTCTCGCAGACCCATTCAACTTAAAAAACAACACATACAAATCAAAGCTTATTGGAATCCCGTAACCGTTCTACTGAAAATGAAAAAAAAAGAGTGACAGCAACTGATTGGTGGAGAACTTGATAAATAGAGAAACCTAATAATTTGGGCAAGCTCAGTGACAACATGAGAACAGTTTCCATATTATGCCATACAACTATCTTCTAAGGGCTCCTTTGACTGTAAAAAAAAAAAAAAAAATTCATTAGAAAATGATGACTCCCATTTAACTCTTTTTTGTGTGTGAAAAATGGTGAAGTCATGACATTTAATAGAGTTTAAGGAGGCTTATGGAGTTTGAAATCAATGTCCCTAAATGGTCATTGCAAAAAAAAAAAAAAACATAAAGAAAACAACATCCATTATAAAAATGAACTCAGTTGGACTTTAATTCAACCTTCCACCAATTTCACTACAAAATCAACCAGATCATGCGTCACCAACCACGATCGATGAGGGAAAAGTAGAAAGGGCAAAACCTTCTTAAGTTTAAGAAGGATGGAGGAGACGACGGATCGGAGGGCCTGAGCATCGTCGCGAATGTGGACAGCCTCGCGGCAAGCATAGGGGACGCGGCGCAGAGCATCACCTCCTTCGCGCTCGAGGGCGTCGACGATCTTCTCCGAAGACGAACGGAGGCTTTCTTCCACATCCGAGAGGAAGCGATCGATGGGATCCTGAGGGTGCCGTGAATCAAGCGCAGCATTAATCCAACGCTTGGGGTCGAAGCCCTCGTCCGAGAATTCTCCCAAATCCAGCACCACCATTGCAGATTTGCAATTGTGATTTGCTCTCCTGGATTCGAGATTTGGAGTTCACTATCATAAATTGGCATGAAAATTAGATGAAATTTTAAGAGAGGGCATTATTAATCTTTAAATTAGTTAGAGTATCATCATATAAAAATAATTTAAAAAGAAGTAAATTAGTCAAATAATTTGGTAAATTTAATAAAATGCATCAAAAAATTTGTCATTCTCAGAATGCACTAAACAGTTTGGTGCATTCAACACCAAATTATTTGGCATTTTCAGAATACACCAAATTATTTGATGCATTCTATAAAATTCATCAAACAGTTTGGTGCATTCTAAATATGCTACAGTTGCAAATTTTCATTAGAGTTCGAGCAAAATTTTACACTAAGCATCATTAACATAATAATCAACACGTGCAATAAAAGTATTTCAAATTAGGCAAAATCGTTCGTTTAGGGGAATGAGCGAGTTGCTCATTAATCAAAATTTGTTCAAAAAAAGCATATATATTCTTAATCTGTAAATTCATATATATTTATAGATTTGAAGAATTTTTTTTGACAATCAAAATGTCATTGTCTTTTTTTATTTTGAGATATTTATAAGTTTGACATAAATTAGTAATTTAAATAGATGTAAGATTTTTAAACTTATATTTTGACATAAATTTTGAAATTCCTTATTTACTATGTTTTTATTATTTCTGAAATATTATAAAATTACGCATTCAATTTAAAAAAAAATGAAAATGAAACGATTTAAAAGTGTCTACATTAAATTGAATGTAAGTATTAATTTATTTAGAAATTATTGATTACAAATTATTAATTATTTTAATATAATTAGTATTATATTAAGATTTACTTTATGTGTCAACATTTGATTTTTTTCAAAATAATGCTATCATTTATCTAATTTAAATTTTTTTGTAATATTATTTTCTTGGATTTGAAAAAGCACTAAAAATTTAAATATAAGAAAAAGAAGTAAATTTAAGAAAAACCAACATTCCAACAATAATACGAATATTATATTAAAAACCACATTCACATAGACGCAAACATACAAATCCATAAAACTTAATAACTTGGACGATAACAGACACAAACCACATTCAGAATTAACTTTACTAATATACTTAAGAAGGTTCTAAAACAAAGCCTAAAACAATTCTTGATCACGATGCACATGCGAGCTTGGACTTGGGATTTAGTTGGACTGCAATTGAATTTTTGTTGAAACCAATGTTGGACACATTGCCAGTTCAATGCATTGAGAAATTCCTTCCTCTTTCTGCCTCGCAAAAATATCAGATTCTTATATATTTTAACGAGGAATTACTACAGAAAACAATTCATTTCAGGTGGAATTTCCTGTGAAAATAAATTCGTTACAAATTTTGGTGATTTTTCCAGTGGATTACCGTAAGAAAATTTCCGACATATTTTCTAACGGATTTTTGACGGATTTTTTTATTGTCTTTCCGACGGATTTATTTCCAACAAAATTTTTGAACAAAAATTAATTTTTCCTGAATATTTATAATCAATTATTTTATTAAATTAAGTAAATAATTTAATAACTTATTATCAAATAAAATCATTTAAATTAAATTAATTAAATTAATAATTAATAGTTCTTTGTTAAATTAAATAAAATTAAATATTATTAAATTAAAAAAATAAATTAATTATTAATTATTAAATTAAATTGATATATTAATCAATTATGATTTAAATTTTAAAAAAGAAAAAGCATATTTGTTGCAAATCTGTTTTTCATGGATTATGATTTTGATGTTAGCAAACACTCTTGTTTCTCTACGACTGCTTTTTCTACTGACATTTCAGGGCCACAAGATCGGACGACAATCGAAACCAACTCAAGTTTGAGTAAACTAGGTCTTAGTCAGTCTGTAATTTTCTTTCTCCCTTTCTTGAGTCAATTGTAATCTTTGAAGTGTCTGATGCTAAGTAACCCTACACACACACTTGAGAGATTTTTCTGACTGATTTAGAATTTCTGTTTTTTACTCACATATTCTCGGACGATATTATTATCGTCCTGGATGATCGGGTTCAAAATAGAAACCCTAATCAGGACATCTAGTTAAGGCAGCTGTCATTAGCCGATCGGTCTGGACGATACATGTATCGGCCAGGACGATAAGCTTAAAACATAAAGAATTAGCCGCCATGATCTATTTAGGCATTCTTTATTTTTGGCAATCAGCAAGGACGATCTTGTATCGTCCTCGACGATTTGGTACAATTATGCCTAAATTAATCTGGTAATTAAGGAAAGTAATTAAGGATGATTGATACGATCACATCGTCCTGGACGATCGCAAGATCGACCGGGACGATCAGTTAAAAAAACCTTAATTACTCCTGGATGATCGATATCGGACAACTCAAATTTCGGGCAAAGGTCTGGCCGATCAATATCAGCCAGCTCAGATTCTGGGCGATGCTCTGGACGATTTTCTTCTGATTTAAACTAATCATCCGGGATGATCGTGAGATCGGCCTATACGATCAAGCTATTTTGGAGTCGTCCAGACCTCATTTCAGAGCGATTGTCTGGCCGATATTCTGTGATTTGAACTAATCGTACAGGACGATATAGTATCGTCTTGTATGATATAAACAACTTTCCTTTATTCGCCCCAGATCTTCCCGGCTGATTAGACTTAAATTGCACTAATCGTACAAGACGATATACTTATCATCATGGACGATAATGTTGGCAACTTGCAATTAATGAGCTATTTTGAAGCTCTTCTATTTAAGAGCTATTGTTCAATGTTTTGAACAATCTTTTGCTACTATCTTGACCTGAGAAAGCCTAGAGGAGAGAGAGAGAGAGAGAGAGAGAGAGAGAGGGAGAGAGAGGGAAATAGAGAGAGGATCTTGTGAGGGGGAGCTTGTGAGAGAGATTCACAAGGGTTGCTCCAAGTATTGTTCCACTTCTTCTTCCACTAGAGTCTCTTGTCCTTGGAAGGGTTGGGAGAGGTAAGCTTCAGTGATCGATCGAGGTTCTCTGCCTGCTTCAGGAGGAAGCAAAAGGAGTTGGATTCTCTGCCTTGTCAGGGGTGGCAAAAAGGAGGTGTTTGTAAGGGCTTCTCCACCTAGCTGTGGGAGCTGAAGGAGAGTCACGATTGTAGTGCAATACTCGGAGGGCGCCTCTGGGGAGTGGACGTAGGTCGAGTTGACCGAACCACTATAAACCCTTGTATTCCTTTTACTGCTTTCGCATTTAATTTTTTGCTCTCTATTTCTCTGTGGTGATTTTGGTTTGAGCTTTATTGTGCTTTGATTAAATGATTTAAAAAAAAATACTAATTCACCGCCCTCTTTGTTAGCCTTTGGCTAGTTCTTAAGGGCTTAACATTCATAACGAACTTTCAAGTGGTATCAGAGCGGGATTCATAAAAACTTAGTTTAATTTTTTTTTAATTTTGATCTATGGCTAACTTTGGGAATCGTAACACAACTGAAGGATATTCTATTACACGACCACCCTTGTTTGACAATCTTCCTTTTGATTTTTAGAAAACTCGCATGTATACTTTTTTATAATCATCTGACTATCGCATGTTGATGCTTATTAAAGAAGGATATTCTTCACCTTCTTGTGAACTTAATGGAATTAAAACTGAAGTGCCTTTTATTGAATGGACTTTTAATGAAAGAGATTTAGCTCAACTTAATGCAAAGTGTTTAAACTATTTTTTCTGTGCTTTAAAGTCTGAAGATTACATGCGTGTTTTTACTTGCTCTACTGGAAAAGAGATTTGGGATAGGTTGTGCATTACTTATGAAGGAACCAATAAAGTTAAGCAATCTCGTTTGAATATTCTCTTGTATGATTATAAACTTTTTCGTATGAAATTTTCTGAATCAATTTCTGATATGTATATAAGGTTTACTCAAATTGTAACTTCTTTGTATGCCTTAGGAAGAGAACTTTCAAATTATAAAAAAGTGAACAAAATTTTGAGATGATTACCTTCATCTTTTGATGCTAAAATCATCGCCATTATTGAATCTAAAGATTTGAATACTTATTCAATTGACAACTTACTTGGCTCACTCATTGCTTATGAGTAATGAGTGAATCAAAGAAATTTGGATGCATGTGAGAAAAGAAAGGAGAAAACTGTGGTATTGAAGGCCAATAAAATGGACTATGATTCTTTCGGGTCTGAAAGCGACGACATTGCCTTAATCATAAGGCAATTCAAAAACTTTCTAAGGAAGATTCATAAACATCATCAAAATTGGAGAAAAGGTAAGGATAATAAATATTATAAAGGATCTTTTGATGTTATTTTCTTTGAATGCAGGAAGCCTGGATATGTCAGAGCTGATTGTCCTACACTCTAGGATCAATCAAGCAAAGAAAGGCGTGAGAAAAAACCTAAGTTTAGGAAGGATAAGAAGCGAGTTCAAAAAGCGTTCTGGGAGGAATCTGCATCAGATTCATCTGAGACTGAACCTGAGGAAGAAACAATAAACTTGTGTTTAATGGCAGAAGATCATCTTGATCAAAGTGATGAAGAAGAGGTATGTAAACCAACCTATGATCAATTGTTTGAAATTTGTGAGAAAATTCATGCATCATATAAAAAACATAAGAAAACCCATGCTAGTTTAAAATTGGAGCTTTTGAATTTACAAAAAGAGCATAAAATTATTCTCAAATATCATTCAACGATTGATTCAAATCACATGAATTTACTTGATGAATTTGATGAATTAAATAAAAAACATTTAGAATTGATTGATGAGCATGATTCATTAAAATCTTCACACACCTCACTTGAATCTGATTTTAAGAAATCTAAAGATATTGAGCAAAATTTGAGGATTAAGAATGCTGCTTTAGAAAGTACTAACTTGAGGTTTAAAACTGAATTGGAAACAATTAAGAGAAATTGGATGACACCCACTTTTGATCTAAAGCTAAGACCTAGGAAGAGCCATTATAACCCAAACCATTTAAAAAATCTTTTTCGTGGTGTTAAATGCTTTCATGTGATATGCTAGGACACATCTCAGACACTTGCATTGTT